CTCCAACACAAAGATCTCTTTTGGAAGCTCAGCTAAGTACATCCCATTAGGTGGATACACAGAGACATACACTAATAAGTATTTGGCAGTCACAAATCCCCCCAGATCCCAATAATATTGCAGCTAAAGACAAGCTAAATCAAAACCCTAGACCCAAAAACTCCTGTAAATTTGGGCAAGTTCGAATGAAAGTTTTGCAGCAAAGTCCAAGGCTTCATCAGCACAGTTTGGGAAAACACAGTTCATTTTCCATACACCCTATAAGACTGAACTGTGTTTCATTGTACTGCTGCTTTGTAAACAGGTCCTAATTTTCCATTGTATATGTGGGTCTCCTTTCATTTGAACTGAAAACCAAAGGAAAATTCCTGTGAACCAAACCTGCTGAGATTCAGTGAACTCTGCAAAGAGCATGCATCTAACAAGTTCAGAACACAAGTGTATCAATTGCCAGATAGGTGATCACAGAAGTCTAACTATGTACAGGGCGGAAATATATACGAAGGAGGAAGAGACAAGAGGTGGAAGCCCCATGTGGCATAAAGAGTTCCTGCTGCTTCTTAGGCTGGAAAATTCTGGAGTTGGTAAGTGGGAAACTCCCTGGGGATCAAATAAAAGTTTCTTGCTATTAGTTGTACTATCTGGATTTGTTATTTTTAACAGTCCCTGCCTAGGAGCCTTTACCCAACAGCTAATTGCAGCCTGTCTCTCCAAAGTGCAATATTCAGTCCTGACATCGTGTATCCAATATCTGGCAGGAGCCCCCACACCCCACACATAGTCAGTGTTTGCAAACCAGAGGTGAACAGGAAAAATATAGATAGTAAATGGCAGAGGCCACACACACTCACAAATACACTCACACATTGTGTGCATCTGAGCAATAAATGACAAACATTGCACACATACACACCCCCCTCCCCCCAGAGCAATACAAAGTGACTGCAGAAAGAAATGTTGCTTCTCGAGTGCCTGAAAGATCACGGAGAAGGGAAAACGAAATATTAGTTTTCATCTCCTACTGGTCTTGATTCCCTTAGTACGACCACTAGCAAGAAGCTTTATTGCAAAACCAAACTATGTTATAACAGGATTAGGGCAGAACTGTGTAACAACTGGACTCCCTAACATAGTTGTAATAATCATGTAGAAACAGGGTGACCAGATGTCCCGATTTTATAGGGACAGTCCCGATTTTTGGGTCTTTTTCTTATATAGGCTCCTATTACCCCCCACCCCATCCTGATTTTTCACACTTGCTGTCTGGTCACCCTACGTAGAACATGCCATAGCTACAACCCAGGAGTGCTCTGATCAGAACACATTTGGATCTTTATGGTTACATTACAGCCATGTTACAGAACTATGCTACAGTCCTCTGCTTTTCAGATTCCAAAGTCTAAAGGCCTGCTCTGATGGCTTTTGAAGTCAATGTGAGTCTTTCTATTGATTGCAATGGGCTTTGGCTCAGACCCCGAAGATTTAGTGCTGTGTAGAGGAAAATTACCACAGACCTATCTATATGGTAATACTAAATCAAGATTAACTGCATTAGGAGATGACCATGTTGTGACTGAGTCCCTGGACACTAGTTTTTTACAGACTTGACCACAGAGTCTTTTCATGAAATTTATTATTTCCTCAGGGATATAAACATGGATATAAAACAATGCTTCAGATTGTGCAAATTATCCCAATATTATCCCTCTGAGGCCTACATGTAAAACGTAGGTCAACAAAGCTATGGCGCTCAAAAATTCACACTCCTGAGCACCACAGCTCCGCCAACCTAAGCCCCGGGGCCGAATGTTGGCGCTACACTATCACGACAACGTGACTTGATGCTCGATCTGATACAAACTGACCATGCTGTCATGAGGTGATGTTGCCACACCCTCTTGTGCTGTGCCATATCTAGGGTGACCAGATGTCCCAATTTTATAGGGACAGTCCTGATTTTTGGGTCTTTTTCTTATATAGGCTCCTATTACCCCCACCCCCTGTCCCGATTTTTCACACTTGCTGTCTGGTCACCCTAGCCATATCATACCGGGCCTCCCTCGTGCTAGGCTGAGGGGTGCCTGCATGGTAGGATGACCAGATAGCAAGTGTGAAAAATTGGGACAGGGGGCGGGGGTAATAGGAGCCCACATAAAAAAAAAAGCCCCAAATATCAGGACTGTTCCTATAAAATTGGGACGACAGCGTGGTGACATGCCGGGAGCAGCCAGGGGAGGCCCCTGCTCTGGGGCAAGGCTGTAGGGTTTGCTACTCCAGGCAGAGCCAGGCTCCAATAAGGCAACTGGCCACTCTAGCCTCCTCTCTATACTCCATGGCCCTGGAGGACCGAGCTGGTCGCGCTCCCTCCCTGTCTCTATGGTATGAAGCGCGCTCTGGCTGGCCAGCTGCCATCTCTATGGCCCTGCCGGCGGCGCTCTATCCGCCACCCCGTCTCTGTGCTCGCGGAGGCCGGCTCGGAGGCGGCGCGGCGCTCAGTCCAGCCGGCGGGCCCCTCTCGCTGGTTGTGTCGGGCGGGCGCGCGGGCCTGGCGGAGCGATGGCGGCCGTGCGGGGCCTGCGGATCTCGGTGAAGGCGGAGGCGGCGGCGGAGGAGGAGCAGCCCCGCGGCCCCGAGCCCGAGCCCATGGAGGTGGAGGAGGGCGAGCTGGAGACCGTCCCCGTGCGGCGCTCGCTGCGGGAGCTGCTCCCGGTGCGGTGCGGGGCCCGGCCGGGAGGGGGGAAGCC